GTCATTCGTATTGGGCATATAAATATACATACATACATGAAGTCCAAGTGAATTAGATAGTGTCCTGTCCACCGTACTTCTTCTCTTCCACCTAGCACGCGCAGGTACGACAGAACATCTGGAATCTTCATTCTCCGGTGTGGGCATCACTGCTTACTCCCTTGTATTTCTGAAGCGCGCGCATTGAAGCTTGAAGCGCCATATTTTGCCATAATCTCATCCAATTTCATCTCGTCCGGAAGCCAGAGAAGAAGCCGGAGAAGTGAGCTTAAGGGTCCAGAAGAGTGGGACGAAGACGAACTGCGTTAAGCAATGAGAGCTGACAGCGATAAAACGATATTGTGTAGCGTATAAAAGACAAGACAATGATGCATCCTGGAGCTCAATGTCTCGACAATGAAAACCGATATCAAGATTATCCCGTTCTGAGAAACCATGATATGACGCACCATGGAGTAATGTCACCTCCTATGCCTCTGCATCGTATCCCCGTATTGCATCGTATTCCATCACTGCTAACCCTTGCCCATCATGAGGAACACTCTTCAACACTTTTGTTCAATACCAGCCTCCTCCCTCGTGACACGCCTCGCCGAATTGGATGGATGAAGATGGATTTTGTTGTCAGCGTTGGTTCACGTGAGCCTTAAGGGTGTCTTGCACGTTATTCGGTGGTCGAGAATGGCCACATATGGTAGACCAGGTTCACCGGGACGACGGTTGAAATAGGCGCTCACAGCTCGACGTATCGTGTGGTTTCCGTACCCTAGGCCACTAAGAATCATAGAGCTGAGCACTTCACGTCGTGACTGCATACAAAGAACTGACCGCAGAAATGAAGACGCCGATCCTGCTCCATGGAATGTTCACTCCAGTTTCCGTAGTGTGGAATCTGAAATACGGCTCCCGCAATCCGGAATCTTCATTCCGGACAATATTCCCGCCAGGAAAAACACGACTAGTCCTTGGTAGATTGCTTTGAGAACAGCGCCGTGAAAAATCCAAAAAGTCCCTAGATTCTACTGGTTAGCTTAGCTTGGGAATTGCTCCGACAATCTCATCTTAAAGACGGGGGGAATTTTGAGGGAATTTGGCTGGGAATATGGGGGGATTTAGTCCACTAGTACCGTTGAGACGCCTCGGGAGTGAGCTGATCATATCACCGAAAAGCCCAAGCGTTTCTTCATCCTTTACTCGCGGGGATTGGTGTCAGTATTTTCCACGGGAACGTGGCAAAGAATATAATCGCACCTCTCGAGTTGCTCCTGGAGGGAATTCGCCGGGCTTCGCGCTCAAGTTCGCCCGATGATCCCCGCGATAGACGCCAGAGATGACGCGTCCTGATCCCGGTCCCTTTCGCGGCTCGAATATTCATTGTGTGCCTGGATCGTCTTACCGAGAATCCACCTGCATATCTCGGGTGATTCCCCCTGCGCCTCCGGTAGAATTATGTGAATATCGCACTTGGAATTCACGGCGCTTCATCTGGGATTCTCATACATTATCTCGTCTTTATCACAACCAGAATATCTGAGATTTAGTCATCTATTCTCTCCTCTATTCCAAGTGCGACAAGCCTGCCCTAAAGTTACTATAACCCAGCATATTCCCCTCCTAAACTTTTGGGATTTTTGTCCAGGGCACGCTGTGATAGGTTACCGTTAGCCCCTGATGTAGTGCCGACATCGATTAGGGTCAAAGGAAGCTTAGGAGCAGCTGGAGTTGGAACTAAGAGGCTGCGGGCCGAGATCTGCGGTAAATTTGAAGCATTTTGTGTCCTCGCTATAGAGTTTCGGCATGTAAAGAAGAGGCCGCGTTTGTGTCGGCTTAAGAGTCGGCTGCTAATATGGAGGCTTGTCATACACGATTATCGTCGTCAATTACTCGATCCGGCTAGTCCTTAGATGGTAGACAGTTACTGGCCGTAGTAGATGCCTACAGGAGGTGACAATTGGAGGGGATAAAACTCTTCGCGCCGTTTTTGCTGGTCTGCGTGTCCTGTCGTTGGAGTCAGCTCAGGACAATAGTGTCATACCATCTGATGAGCTTATGCATTGAACGCGCGCTCAGGATTAAGCTTCTAGAATTTAAGTAACCACAGAATGCCGAAAATTACCATTGGTAGCGCTACTGGACAGCGAGCCCGATCATAGACGGGCTTGCCGCAAGCTGGACAGTGGATTTACGGACATTTGCCGTATGCGACTCCTTCAGAAGCCGTCAAGCTTCCGCGTGCTTGGGCATATAAGCAAGTGCACGGATAGGCTTTTGAGATGTAGCGCAATGGGAGCGTAAGTCTAGACCCTGGGTAGGGCCGACCCCTTCATATGCGACGATCGGCGATTTTAATCGGTGACACGAGGCAAGTAGCACGACTGCCCAAAATGGCGAATGCACCCGCGACCTAGATCTGAGCTGCCGTGTAAATCCGCAGACGTCTTCGGGACTCTTCTCGAGAGACTTTGCTAGTATCGAAATAACATTTTCTTCCGGATAGTTGAAGGAATACTTCATGGTAATGATGCGGTCTGTCGATAAGCGTTGGAAGTAGGTAGCCATACTGGCAGATACTCCAAGAGTGAACGCGAGCTCCAGTTACCGTGAGTAAGCAATTCAATGGAGCTAATGGACAGTGGATACCCGGCGGAAAAAGAATCACAAGTAGAAATGTAAACCCTGTGTGAACTGATCTGATAGCTTTGAATCGGAGGCGTCATGGCACAAACGGGAGAGCTAGGTTGTCTCCAGAACCAAGAATGCGCGGTGCCGAGAGGAATGAAGACAGGAGCGTCCCGAGAAGCATGTTATTTTCGGCCCGATATAAAAGAGGCTGGACGGTAGGCTTTGGTTTAAAATATCTATGTTATGGATGCTGCTCCGGAAAAGCAAGACTTACCAAGAATTAGCAAACCTGTAAACCTTGCAGATGATCCGGATGGAGACATCCCAAGGGTTGTTGGGGCGCTTCTGGTCTGATTGATTGAGTGTCTTTTGTTTATCCACTTAGAGAGGAAGCTGACTCCGTGGAAACCAGCATGACTAGATCGAAAAAGCAGCGGGTGCATAACGGATCAAATCTGATCCACTGATGAAATAATGGCGGATAAGAAATTCCCGTTCTGATAGCATTACTGGCACTCCTTGTAGCGTTAGAAGGTATAATGGGGGCAGTGACTCCCTCAATCTGTTGACTCGGTCTGACAGCGACTCGGTGACGAGACGTGAGTGTCGCAGATGCCGGGGGAATGAAACGTGCTCAGTTTCGAGAATCAGGCGTGCAAAGCGCAATGTGCGTCGTACACCATAGCCAGATAATGAATGATATTGTGATGCCGAGGTAAATGTAGGAAGCATTCCGCTGTAGGCATGCGCAGGAGGAGCCACTCGCTCCGTAGGGAGCAATAGTGACGACATGGAATCGCTATTGTAACGGCGGCGCAGCCGAAGAGCCCCTAAAAAGATGGCGGCTCCTTAGTACAAGGTCACTCTGAGGGGCTTGTATTTCTCAGTCGTGAGAGGAGAGTCGCCTTATCTCGGTAATATGAAAGAAGCCGGTAGAGCAAGCTGCTGTATAAAAGCTGCTGTGCTTGGACGACAGCGAGTTTCCAAGCACAAGTATCCTGCAGCTTGAACGAACCAACCTTAACTGCTTTCACAATCGATAAATCAACATGGTCCATAATATGTGAGGCAGCATACCTGGTATGATTTGATACTCTCCGACGATAATAATCAAGGTATGCCAGACGACATGATGTTCACCCACCACATACAAGGGCATATAATTCTGAAAGTACTGTGAGGTATGCTTTGGATCGTTCCTGACACAGTGGAGGCGCTCACTGAATTGCCTGCACAGAGAGGTGTATCCGACATGGAGTCCAGCTTCCAATTGCTATGGTCCGACGAATCCCACGGCAACTGGACCAAAGGGGCCTCCAAAACCTAAACCTAAACCCAAGAGGTCAATATTCCATAGCGGATCGCCACGACATGATAGTGAGTGCTATAGCTGCATTGCGCCGTTCTAGTGCTTTTCGAAATTGGCTGAGCATGTGAATATTCTAGGCTTGAGTGTGTTACCTCATAGTCCTTTTAGTTCACTTGGCTAGTATGCATGAGACATGAGCGACGCAAGAAACGGAGGCACCAGGAGTACACTGAGGTCGCCATTGAGCGAGTTGTAGGTTGAGAGTTTGTTGTAGTCTATTATTTACCGCGGCATAACACGGCATCTTCTCCGTCGGCAAAGTCCGAAAGTTTCATTGTGAAGTTTTTTGTTCGACAAGCGAGGTCTCAAAGTCATGCTATCTGACCGCATTGAGATTGATGAGGTGCCGTTGAAACAAGATCTCCATCCACCAAAACGCATTCAAGGTGAGTCACCGAATGTACACCGTTTGGGGCAGATTCAAGTTTCAAGTTTGAATGTTGGGGCGATGTTGCATCAGTGGAGATTCGCAATATGGCATACGATGAGTGCCAAGTGTCGTGGCAGATCGACGCATCATTTCGACGAGTCTCTATGCAAATCATGATCGCCTTCGTCCGTGGCCCAACCCAGCTTGAAAGATTTGAACACAGTCATGTCGGGCAGCTCCGTTTGTTTGGGTGGAGATGTTTTCGGCATTGCTAGAGCTCTTCGGTCTGTAAGATAGTAGTTAGCTGTTCTTCTTTCCATCATCATCATAGTCACTCCGTCAAAAGCTCGACCCCACACAGCGTCCCTCCTAATTGTTTCTCTAAGTTTTTTCTCGTCTGGGTCGCCCCGCAGCGATAAAATTTTGCCACTACGGATTTTGTACACCGATTTTCAGCGTACGCTCTTACAAACAAACACAGATCGGAGTCTTTCGGAACTTTACACTTTTGGCTGGCCCCGGACAGGAATGCCGCTGTTTACTACTATTTTTCTTATCTTATCTCGATCTAAATCTCCTTTTGGCTCGAACCCTTGATTTCTTCGATAAAAAAATTGCAGGAACCAATCGCAAAAGGAATGATTGAGCGCGGAATCGAACCGCGAGCCTTCTGTGTGCAATGGCGGTTCGACTCCGCGCACTGTTAGACAGAAATCATAACCGCTAGACCACTCAACCGATGGGAAAGGTGATCAAAACAAAAATTATAGGTAGAAACCACTCTACATGACCCCTTGATGTCCCTGACTGACCTATAGATGAGCCTTCACAGGCGCTACAGGAATCGATGTGTCCCCCTCGTCCTCAACGCAGATTTTAACCGATTTCTTTGACGAGGAAGGGTGTTTCGGACGTTGCCGAAGTCGGACTGCCGAGACCCGACGCTACTTCCGAGTTTTGAGTCTCCGAACTGATTGATTGATCGTCAGATCTCAAGTTCAGACCGCTGCACACCTGAAAATAGTCGTCATCGACTCGTAGAAACCCTGGATCAATCTACGACTTTGCATCCATTTCTTCTGATATATATTTCTCTGGCCAAGCGCAGCACATCTATCAAAAATTTTCAAACTCGTGGTGCCGACACCTCATCCAGGCTCATTAAATTGTGTTCAAGGCTTCCAGCGGACAATTATGTTTTCATCCTAGACCCAATGCTACACGTTGGGAAAGACCGAGGTCGTGCAAGTGGCTTCTCGGCAATAATACTATTTAATTTAAGCAACTACTCGTGTACTCGAAGAGTTCAGTCTCGCTGGGTTTTGCTCAGCCCGTTGATTCAGTGATCAATGAATTCAACAAAATGCAGCTAAGAGAGTAGACGATGCATGCAAGGCCCACCGAGACCTCAATTGAGGTCGGTTATTATCGGGAAGAGAGGCGCCGGCGCTCAGATAATTGAAGATAGCCTCAAATGAATATTGCTATAGGAGCTGTTCGTCAAGCAAAGTCTATCGTCAGGTCGTTTCAGAATGACATTGGAACAATGCACCGAAAATTCATAGAAATCGTTGAGTCCGAGAAAGAATGAATTTTCTTGTGCAATTAAAATACTGACAAAAAATCCGATACCAACTCTTGCGATGCACCCACAGACTGAGAGAACACACCAGAACCCTAATGCCCATGCTCATGCCCAACATGAATACTCGCATTCCAGACACGATCGATTTTACGCGCCATCGCCCAGTCTCGGATGGCATCGAAATTTCGGCACGTGTGGATGCTATCAAAATGCGGAAAGCTGACTCCCCGGCTCTCATCCCATTGCCACACATTAGGCGTGATATCGGCGTTGCACAAGATGTTTTCTCGCAGGATGTTCACGCAATGATCGGTATGATCAAAGGGCTCTGTGTCGCTGCCAATCACTATGCCGGGTGGACCCATTTCTGGGGGACCATATCGCTCCGGCCAGAGGGCTCTACGGACGTAATTCTAAGGAAGAGGGTAAGTCAAAGGCAAAGGCTGGGGAGACGGGAACGTACGAGACAATGTATTTGGTGGAATACGTCGAGAGAGATTGCATAACGCCCTTCTTTATCGTTCGGAAGCGGTTCTGTACGGTTGGGAAGGAGCGCAGCTTCCTCTGCCGATATGTATGACAGCCCCACTGGAGGATAAGGGTTTCATGAGCGGGAGAGATGGAAGAGGTAGACGGAGCTCACTGTAATAAAGATCATCCCAAGCCTTGTCCGTCTCGTCGGTTGGGGGTCCATGATATATCGTTTTAGTACCGAGCTCGTCAAATACTCGTCGTTCATATCGCACCGCGCTTTGAGCCGGAGCTATAGCACTTGATCAGTATAGACTCATGCAGAGCTGACTTGTTATAACTCACAATATAATGGTCCTGAAACGCCCCATATCGGATCCATCTGACTGGCAGAGCAGTCGGGAGTGGGCTTGGAGAAGTTGAAATATAGACCGATGACATTCATCACAAACAGGACAGCAAGGATTCCGAACTCGACGGGTCGTCGTAGAGTGAATTTTGATTGAGACACTTCATCTTCTAGGTCATCCTTCTCCTTCAAGAGATCGTCGCTGCTCCCAGAAGCATGGGCTTGGGGGAGGAGAGGGCGATAGTCTTTCGACATTGAGAGTCAAGGTCGAGTGATTCCAGAGATTAGAACAGCGAGCGTAGCGTCAAGACCAGATTGATGCCACTTTGAGATAGGCCGACTGGATCAGAGGGAAACATGGGCCAAGAATGGATGATTTTCCCACTAGTACCGCTCAGTTTCTTGATAGCCCCGCGCTGGATCCATCCTATTCCCATTGCATGTGCAGATGATAGTCTACCGCATGGCTCGCCTTGAGAAAAGAAGATTGTCGTCGACTCAGGGGAAGTTTCTCCGCTCTGGGGAAATTCACGGGCCAGTTCAATCTATGGCCATGAAGTCTCAAGATCGACGGTCTTGGATAGCAAGGGTGAGTTCTGCAATCCAGTTCGAAGAGAGTCAGCCGATCGCGAAGGTGGTCAAATAATCGCATCAGGAAAAGCAGAGAGCAACTCGATTTCACGTGAATAGCTGCCGCTGTCGTGACACCTGCCACCATGATCTTGACTCAATGACTTCATCGCTGCTTTCCTACAAGGGCGGAGACGATCTAGACCATCGAAGCAAAGCAAAGCACAGCATACTCTCTCTCAATGGTAGCCTTAGACTTGGCTTGCTCCCGTTGTCGCTCCAGATCGTCTCGCCCTCATTCACGAAAATCCGGAGGCGAATTCGTCATTGACGCAGTCCTTCACAATATTCGAGCGTCACCGAACGTCTTAAGAAACTAGACGAAGGAATCCAGAAGCTACTTATCGATTCAAAGCCGATCTTCTCACCTCACAGACGATCTTCCGCATTAGACCGAACTGGGCGGATACTTATTCCTATACTCTGGTTCCGCCTCTTCACCGTTTTTACGATCCAGTATGTGAAGCCAGATCCATTTTCGTTTCAACCATATGCTTGACCATCACCTGCAAACGAGGGTTGTCCTGAGTCCTATCTTGACCGAGGTCTGATTCACTCGGGTCGGTCTCGTAACGCTCAACTCTGTGATCGATGGATTGGATCACCCTGCTCCAGGATCAAAGACACGCGTTCTATGATCTCTGTGGCAGCTATTGTGTACAGGCTCGAGCGAACGTGCGTCACTGTCAATGGACTCGGACTCACCACCATGAGATTGCTTCTCCCAGCAAACGCCTTCTGATGGATCCGTGTCCCCGTATATCCTGATCTGCTCACAGAAACTGCACTGGAGAATCAGAGAGAGGTACTGGAAACTCCGCCGTCTTTGCGATATCACAAGATGAGCGAAAGCACCATTATTCACTTGACTGTCTACCAAAATTAGGCGAAAAATGGACTCTGATGACCTTCTCTTGTTATGCAAATACTTCGCCGTCTAAAATCTGTCAAGAGGGAACCTCTGTAATATTTCCCTTGATTATCGCTTCTTAAACTGATCCAGACACTGCTTTGCAGGCAAGTGCATTGCGAGTCGCCGATCTGGTTCCTGAGTCTAAGATGTCCATTCCACGCCCATGAGAACACCCCACGGACTACAATACAATCTCACCAAGAAGCGAGTCAACCATACGAAATGGCGTTAAAGAGGTAGCTTTGCGATGCAGATCGATATCCTACCGAACCAAATGTATGCTATCTCGCCCTAAGACCACTGGGATGGGGGTCTCGAGCGTGAAATTGACTGTATGGGGCACCGATGGTACACGACTGGCCCTAGCTGCGACGAGAGTCCAATGATACCTTCACGCGCTGCCACGGACAGGTTACAGTATGGCTCAAAATCATCCCGAAGCATGGGTTATAAGAACAGACGCGAAGGTCGGAAGACAGCACGATAGTCACCCACTATTTGCAACATCATGTACTCTGTTAAATCCATCGCTCTTATGCTGATCGCTTGCGTTGCAGTGGCCAGTGCTAACCCCGTACGTTATTCAATTCTGTTTACAAGTTTCGTCTACTATGTGACGTCAATGTTAATGTCCATTCCTTTTTCCTCAGATGCCTACAAATGGTGTCGATGCGGAAGCCAATGCTTGCTACAAACCGCGTATCGGGGTAGGAAAAGTCTAGAATTTCAATTCACGATACTGAAGATCTTCAAACCCAGGTCCGCGATCCCAGCGCCAACCCCGAGCCCTGCGTGAGTCCTCACATTTAACTCCTTGATCTTAGCCATAGTAATTGATTTGGTCGCGCAGTAAACTACAATCTTCTGAATCATCGTCTTCTGGGTCTAAGAGATTATCATTGTCAGTTTGATAGACTTTCCACGCTTGTCAGACTACGCGTGGCTTTGAGCCTCGAATTCGAAGTAAATATAAGGAATTTTCATGAACTATGATGCGGTCATGGCGACCCAGAGCTTCACACTGCGGGCAAGGTGCACTTTTCTGTGTAGGTAAAACTTGCTCGGAGGCCCCTAATGGAGGAATTCCGACGATTTATAGGTCGTATAAACCGGTTAAGAAGCGGTTTATACGGCGAGTAAAGTGCCATGGGTCCGCAGTGTCAGCATTCATAATGAGCCACCTTGCAGGCTTGCAAGTCGCGACCCAAATATGGTACGCGGGATGGAAATCAGCGTCCCTATGACACAAGCTCTAACACAACCTCAAGACAGCTTGATCACTTCCTTTTCAGATGGTCCTGATGTGGGAGTATATACTAACACAGCGGGGGAAAAAAATTCGAGAAATCGGATAGAAATGAGTACTAGACCTCGGACATTTACTCAAGGGTAATTTACTCTCGAGTAAATGACCGGTTATTTACTGGTAAATAACATGTAAATTACTGGGATGGGTTTGGGATGGTGTAAATATCTGTCAATATCTTCAATTCTCTCGCGATGACGCAGAAGGATGGGCAGAATATCCACCAGAGTCAGCCAGGAAGCCACAAGTCGACGATGGGAGGGTGGTCGGGGATAATGTTCTTACCTCCGTCATGACCCTATTTGGCTTCACGGCGGCTCCGAAATCAAAGCCGAAGTGCCCGAAACTCCGCCAACAACGTTTGAAATCGGACGATAGCAGACGTTTCACCTTCACCTGAAGACAGTGAAAAATGGAGGAGCTCTACATACGCGTATGACACTCATTAGAGACCAGTAATCGGGTACCTGGGTTATATATCCGG